GGGGGGGGGGGGGGGGGGGGGGGGTAATGATAAACATTTCAAGTCTTCAAAGCAAGGAGTAAAAAAATCAGCAAATGTAAAAAAACTCTAGTTTAAAACGCAGGATTGGGCAAGTAAATTGTATGAAATGTAAAAAGATCACCTCTTGTTTTCACTGAACGTTTGCATCAGTTTCACAGCTAACCTGAAAAGGCCACCAGTCTCTACAACACATTTAGTCACTTGTTAATAAATCAATTGTTCTTGAAATCATTGTTTCTGTGCATGTTGCAAGTACATGTACTGGTCTCCTGGGCAAGAACCTTTCCCCACAAACAGTATACCCTTTCTACCTTGAAGGAAACATGGAATCACTCATTATGAAGTGTGATTAAGTGCCATAAATGGTGAGATGGTGAGACTCAATATCAAGCTGCGTAAAGTATCAAGCTCTGTCAGTGTTAAATTATTATTTAGTATTACTGGGGATGATCTTGACTCTCAAAGTGTGTCTCTTCCCCCACGCACACATATAAAGTTGTGCATTTAAACTGTTGGGGCATACTAACATTGCAATGGGTGACATTACACAAATAAACCCAGTAAGAAGCAAACCCTGGGCTTATTTAGTTAACTGAGCCCTTTGCAATAATTGAAAAGGGTTCTGTTAACCATTTAAGCCCAGTGACAATCACTATTACTTTACTGCTATGCTAAGTTTTTCAGGATGATTAACTAGCCCGTTATAGGCTACTACTTCACTATGGAAAGCTGTGGTATTTGGGTGGGGGGGGGGNAGTAAGGCAGGGGGGATGTGGAGATAACCCACAATAGGCTAGCATCCCATGGGAAAAGTAACAACACCTGTTTCATGTTGTGGAAATGTTTTGGGAGGGGTTACATCAGTTTGCACCACATTGACATTCACCATTTAACAAAATTAATGAAACAGTTCCATGAACAAAAGTTGACATTGTTTACTTCTCTTAACCATTTCTCTGTATTCATCCTCAGTAGGGCATGTGTAACTGTCTCTCCAGTAGATATCCATTCCTTGACCTCTATGGAGCTCTAATAGTTCTTCTAAATAAAGATATTATGGCAGGCAATTGTTACTGCAAGATAAACTACCAAACAGAAATTGACTATACATGGAACAATCAATATGACTGACGATATAAGGGATTTTTGAAACTCTTTCTTTGGGGCAAAGAAGTCAACATGTGCTTTGTTTGTTTGTTTTGGTAGTCATTGTTGTTATTTTCATCTTGTTATTGTTGTTGTTGTTACCTTTCAGACAGTGTATGTATGATGTAATGCATCAAAAAAGTATGTTATCAATTTATTTAATCCACACAAAAAATACTATGGATATGATATTTATTAGTTTTACTATCAAGCACAAAATACACTCTTTGAAAATACTAAGTTAACATTAATGTGGTCTAAATGCTTCTCTGACATGAAGAGCAATTTTTCATACTGTGCATCTATCTGGCAATATTTGGACTAGTTACATCGTATTTATAACTGCATGTATAAATTACTACATTCCATCAGACATGTACCTGTAAAAATGTTAATACATTGTGGATGATTCAAGGATAACACCTTTTCCAGTGCTTTAAAATACATGTAGTTTGCACTATTGATGGTATGGGCGACTCCATAGATCTGATGAGCAACTGCAACAGAATTAATGTAAACAATAACTAAGATAAACAAATTAATAACAAGTACATGAATACACTTAAGGTCTGCAATAATTCTCACAAGGGCCACACATAATGACCCCCCCCCCCCCCCCCAGCTAGACTCTGATATTATAAACCATCATAAATAACCCTCCCCCTGGGGGAGGAAGGAAAGCTAAGGAATGTTTCAAGCCCTCCTCTTGTAAGTGTCTCCTCTCTGCCCTCCATTCCAATCAAACCAACACAGGAAACAGATTCTGAAGAGTTTTTAGGAGACTTTAGGGCATTGTGCCACAGGCTTCCCAAGCTCAAAATATGACTCTGAATAGGTGGTGTATGGGACAGCTTGTGTATATAGAGAATTGGATGGGAAAGTCACTGATCATAAAAAAAATTGTGTAAAGAACTATCTCATTTGAAATAAAGTTTTGCTACCTCAAATGTGTCGCGTACTTGTGTCTTGTGCCGATTAGAAGCCATTCTGACGCCATTCAGTGAAGTTATTCAAAACCGTTGTCTCTCCTTCTTAAAGAAGGTAAAGGCAGACCACTCCAGCGATTGCTGGCCAGATGTCACTTAGTGGAGGTGGTGTGGCCGAGTGGTTAAGGGTGCTGGATATGAAATCTGGAGGTCCCTGGTTCAAATCCTCCAAACTACCGCTATCTGGATTTGTTCTTGGTAGCCCCGAGTTCAACTCCTCGGCCGCGTTGTGTAAATAGCCAACTGGTCAGCCTCCCACCAGTTGGGATTCTTAAAAGTTTATGTTATATTTGAAATATTTGTTTATTTATTTACAGTGTCCCCAATTAGCACATTAGTGCTAAATACATCAACACTTAAATAAAGTTATTATTATTATRATTATTATTTACAAATCGCTCTCTCCTCAAAAGGAAAAGTCCCGAATCGCAATAAAACCAACAGTTCCATGAAGCCCAGTAAATTTCTCTTCACATATGTGTGCTTCAGCAGTCGAAAGACTCGTGAAGAACGAAAAAGTTGGCTTAAAGTTTGCCCCTTCGACTTTCCTGATATGCTTGTGAGTGACCTCGCATCAACGCCCATTACGCCAGGTCAAAGTATCTGGTTTCATCCTCAACTCTGATTGATCCATTTGAACCAAGTCATGCGGTGACAACATGACCCTCGTGTTGTCAGTGCGAGGGTTGTGTTGTCACCCCGTGACTTGGTTCAAATGGACCAATCAGAGTTGAGGATGAAACCAGATACTTTGACTTTGCATAACGGCCATTGGCGTGAGCATATCAGGAAAGCCGAAGAGGTGAACTTTAAGCCAATTTTTCATTCTTCACGAGTCTTTCGACCACCGAAGCTCATGTATGTGGAGTGAAATGTACTGGGTTTTATGCCACTGTCAGTTTTATTGCGATTCGGGACTTTTCCTTTTGAGGAGAGAGCAATTTGTGGAGTGACATCTGGCCAGTGATCAATGGAGTGGTCTGCCTTTACCTTCTTTAAGAAGGAGAGACAGCGGTTTCGAATAACTTCACTGAACGGCATCAGGACAGCTTCAAAATCGGCACAAGAGACAAGCATGCGACACATTTAGGGTAGAAACACTGTATTTCCAATTAGATAGTTATTTACACAATTTTGTTACAATCGGTAACTTTCCCATACAATTCTCTAAATACACAAGCTGTCCCAAACACTACGTATGCAGAGTCAAATTTTGAGCTTAGGAAGCCTGTGATTGTACAGGTACTTTAAGATCCATCCAATTAACACATCATGTCACTGAACAATATAATTTTATGACTTGTGTGGTTCATTTACAGTATTTGCAGAAACTGGCTTAGTTTGCTTGTTCTTTCCAACATTACCTGGAATTCCTCTTCTTAACTTTGAATTATCTTCAATGTCATCAATTCTGAAAAGAAACAAATTAAACAAGCTACTGAAATAATAATAATAATAATAATAATAATAATAATAATAATAATAAAAAGATATTAAAGATAAAAAAAAGCAACAGCACCAAAACTGTTAATAAAAAACACTCAATTTATCATTACAGGCCCACTATCATCCTGCATGCGTGTTTTTCACTTGTGTGTTGCTAACTCGATTTAAAAACAAGAAAGGATTTGTGTTGTTCAATATATTATTGCATTAATCTGTGTAATTACAATGTATCTTCCAATATGCCTTGGACATACCTGTATTTGCCATTTGGCACCAGAGATGAAAAAAAGTATTATAATTGTTAATGACTGTACATTGGAAACTAAATTAATGTTCTTATTGTACAAGTAACTAATAAGACTGAAGTCAATCTATTTTTACTTATTACCCTCTAAAATGAGTATTTCATCATTGTTTAATAAATTTATTCAATATTTATTTTTTTTAATTTTATGATTAAGAGCACTTACAATAAGCTAGAATTGTGTAACATCTTTACCACTTCAGCAATCACCTTAAGTTTATCTTCTGGTATCCTCAACCAGAAATTAAATGCCTGTAAACAAGGAAGACTTAGGTTTATTAAAACAATTTAAGTTAAAAATTTACAATTTAAGGATGATGTAATCCAATAATAATGATATCAAATAAAATTCAGGCTCTTAGCATCTGACCTGGATAAGCTTCTCTCTGACTTGCTTTCCTGGTACTTGTAAAATATAACTATAAGGTTCCAGAAGTATCTAATTCAAGAAGGGAACAAAGGAAAGAAAACAGTTACAAATTGTTTGGGCGAGGTTAGTTCTAAAACAAACCGTTGTTGGTGAATGACATTTCCACAACTGAGTGCATTAGTCATTACTTGACTCTGACTTTTGCTCAGGTTCTCGAAAGATCAGTCGCCAATAAAACGTCAGTGCTTTTCAGAAAGTGCTCACACCCAAATGATTATGTACTATACAAACTACTGATATTGCTGGTTTCAACCCATTTACCAAGTCTACAAAATGTTTGCCTATGGTAGGCCCTTAACCCTGTATCTGCTAATTGCACATTAAAAGTGAGTGTAAATATATCTGACTGTATTCACAACACCATGCCTGCAAAGAGCTCAAAGACAGTCCCTTGGCAAATTAATTAATTAACTAATTATGGTAACCTTGAGATGAATTGGCATCCCATCCAAAGAGGGGAAATAGAAATACCCCTAGTCACTTCATGCTACAGAAACTGGGAATAAAACGAGCCCTGATGGGTCAGTAGGCTTGAAGACAGACTTGGTTCACCAAATCTGGACTGAAAAAGTAAACAGCACATTGAGCAAAATGAAGCTTTAATCTTGGCTCCTGTGGTACTGTTACCTTATTCCTGTTCCATTGGAGAGGTTACTAGCAGCCCCTCCCCCCCCCCCCCCCCCCCCCCCCCC